CGGGCACTTATGCGACAGTTACCTCGACAGAATCCAAGAACTAAGATCATATTGGTCTGCTCATTATAACAGAAATCCATATTTGATAGCAGTTTTAAATAACAACAATTAAATAATAATAAATGATCGGTAATGGTACTCGCGGTAATAACAAAATTGAAGAATTTATTGAAAAATTCACAGCCAACGTCAACAACAAACTTGAGTGACAATAAATTTGTTTCCTGTCAAAATCACGACTTGCCTCCGTTTTCACTGCCAAATAAGATTTATATCATAATTTGATTGAACTTGTACTGGGAATATCTGATAGCATTATTTGAGAGAATATTTTGTTTCTTCGAAACTATGCGGTATACGAAATTTCCACAAGAGTAATAGAATAAAGGGGATTGATTAGTCTTCAAGCTCAAGAATTTCAGAACCGTATTATGACCCCTGAAAGTTTCTGAAAAAAAAAATGTCAGGGGTGATGGTGGTTTTAACCCTTTTACAATTTCTATTAGGTTTTTTCGATCACCAAAACGAAAGTAATCCTCTGAAATACACTATTGATGCCAAATTTCATTCACTTCAGTTCACTTATTTCTGAACAGCTTACAAAAATGTGTTTTTTCATGTGAAGTTTGAACCCTTCTCACGGACAAAGGGTACATTTTGGCACAGAGATAAATTGGGTCCAATCAACTCATTTTGACCTTCTCTACACGTGGTAGCTCTGTGTCCCAGTAATTTCGGGACACCCTGTATAACTGTGACTTCACGTCAATTATTATCACGTTATACGACGTCAACTCATGACGTCAACTTGATTATATATTAAGGAAAGTACAGAAGCCTTCCGGAACTGACTCCTTCGTCTGTTTTGTGAAGAACTTATTGAGAATCTAAATGAGGCTCAACTCCTGATGTAATTGTAACCGAGTTCATGCGTGGATAATATATCTGCTTTTTTGCCATGAAGAAAGGGTATGGGTTATGTTTATTAACTTTGTGAAAAATCAATCCTGAGTACCTACATCAAAAATGTTATCCAAAACACAAAACAGATAGTTATGATGAGTTAATTGTTAGATATTCAATATATAGATACATACATGTTGTTATTTTTAATTTTCTATTTATAAAATGTGCGGTAACTATATTATTGAACACGTTGACTCATTGGGATGCGATTCGAAAACCTATAGAGTTGATGGGGATTCACCCTGTATATTATCCAGTTATGATTATCTTGTTTGAATAATCTAAAAAACAATTTCAATTGGATGAACACAAGAGGAAACGAACAAAATCCGCATGTATCGATGAGAAATTATTGTCATTTGGCCCAAAAACTTGTAGGGTGCTAAGTAACGGGGATTCTACGAGTCCATGTAAAATTCATATACCGCACCATTATGGTTTTCAGTTATTTTTTTCTATATGCAAATGTTGCTCAAACATGAAAAGTCACAATCCCGACATTATTTTGATTGAATTTGATCGATTCATTGAATATACAACCAACAATACGAAATTCGCTCTAGTGTTTCAGCCTGCCACACTACCAACCTATTATAAGAAAAAGCTTTATAAGGTGCGCGCAAAATATCGTTCCCTAGCGCCGTGAAGCGTCGGGATGCCGACTGCCGAAGTTATTTAAGTAACCCAGCTTACTTAGTCTCCCAGTCGCGGGTGTTACTTGGAGAATCTAACATCGACAACAAAATGGTAAGTCTTTCGATACAAATTGTATGGAGGATTGTGTAATTTTGTGAATGTGCATAGTGTTGGTAGTCACACTACCATGTGATATTCATTGTTCAGTGTTTCTTGCGGGGATGTGAATTGTGTGGAGGGTGCTTATTTTGTAGGAAGTAGGTATTTCGTACTATCATTATTGCCATTTTTGGAAAAATGATGGACGCTATCAACATTGAATCATGACATCCGCATGCAATAACTTCAGAGATAAGTTCCGCCTGTTTCTGTTTTGTTCTTGTAGGTACAGATCGTAGAACAAACTATTCAGTCTATGGTTGAAACACAGAGAGTGAAGGTCGAATACATTGAAAAAATATATTGACTGATAGGTACTTCGATTTTTTCTAATTCTGTAATATCAATAGCTCCCGCCCTTAGATGACATTGACACTCCCAATATAATATTATTGTGCTGCATTTGTATCATCACCATCAGTAAATGCATAGGAGTAACTCCTGGTGACGGCTTCTCTATCAAATAGTTCAATCTGTTCAATTGTGCACTATTTTAAAATCAAATTGGATTTCGGATCTGAAAATTCTGAATATCTGTCGGATATAATTGTTCGTTATCTGGCATATCGCCAGGAAAAGTACCTACTTGATTTATTTTAACATGAACTCAGATTTTATTTTTAGTGATCTCATTCTCTGTATTTGGTGTTGTGCCAAAAATAGAACCAACGCGTGACCCATTTAATGAAGAAAGTTTCAGGAAAATACTGCGCTGCTTGTCACTTAACCTCGAGTTGGAAGTTGTAGGAAGAGGTTGACTTATTTATGGTACCTATCTAAGTGTACCTACTACTCATTGAAGTAGATGAAAGCCCACAAATGGAATGGTTCAGGTTTTTTGTCTTGGCTGAAGCCATTCAGACAAAATTATTCCAACTCCTCTTAGAGAGAACGACATATAGGTTATGTCACGACGAGCTCACACTATTTTTATATCGAGAATCAGTCGGAATATATCCATGAAAATGTGCATGCTTATATTTCAGAATACGCTCTTTTCATTTGAAATATTTTCGGCAATGCAGTACTACCGCTTCTACTAGAAAGTATAGTAGCAACATTGATATTTCAAATGGAACACCCTGTATTTCATCGCATTTTTCAGATTTTTCCTGAAGAGCTGATTTCATCAATGCATCACACTTGGGATCTATCGACAATTATTACAGAGATATAGGGTGTTCAAAATCGAGATTTCTCTACTTTGAGATTTTTTTTGTGTCGAAACTATACATTATCGGTTATTATCACATGTCCCCATATCGACTTTTGATTCAATGATCACTGATATTCAATCGGAACACATACAGGGTGGTTCAAAATTCAGAATTCTGATCACCCTGTATCTGTTCCGAATGAATATCAGTAAATAGTAAATCAGAAGTTGAGGCGTTTTGGCCGATGCTGAATGGTTTCGACACAAACAAATCCTAAAGTTGAAAAATCTCGATTTTGAACACCCTATATCTCTGTAATCATTTTCGATAGACCCCAAGTGTGATATATCGATGCAGTCAACTCTTCAGGGATAATATAAAAATGCAATAAAATACAGAGTATTCTATTTGAAATAACACAGTTGTTGCGACTTTTTCATAGAAGCCGCAACACTGCATTGCTGAAAATATTTTAAATGAAGAGAGCCTAATCTAAAATATAAGCATGCATATCTTCATGTATTTCTTCCGACTGATCTCGATATAGGGAAAGTGAATAAGCTGACATCTCCTGTATTATATAGCTTCATTAATGATAAATACTAATGATTGACTTCACTCCTTCAATGATTATATATCCCAAATTAATTGAAAATTCAAAATGAATTAGTGTTCCTCAGTGGCGTAGCGAGAGGTGTCGGGGCCCCGGTGCAACGAGGGTTGATGGGGCCCTAATTCACTGAGAAAATTTTCCAACCCTAGAGTTAAAGGTAGTTGAAGATCGAAAAAAAAGAACAGAATTGTTAAAAATGTATATTTCTTGTAGTGGCGAGTCGTTATGAGCTTGAAATTTGAGGAAGTTGATATGAGCAAAATTGCGCTTCAGGCAATTCTTTTCGAAATTTCAAGGTCAAGCTGCCTGGTTTAGAAGTTCAAAATGAGAATCGAATATATTTATCCCTTGAGTATGAATCTATAGTAGCCTCATCAGTTAATTTAATTTCCAATGAAAACAACTGAATGTACCTAAGTATTTTTCTGTTCTCTCGAATGAAGTCACGAAATGACAAAGTTTAAGAATTGTATTCGCAAATGTTGACGAGCCATGGCAGCCATCTGATACCTCCGCTTGTTCTCTGCAATCTGAGTGAAGCTATTTGTCCATCGCCTCACCTCCGTTTGTATCATGCAGTGACTTTTGCAGAAATTTCAATCTAACACGGTATTTAGTTGAAACAACTAATGTATTTTGAATCTGACAGTTATTATCAATGAGTATCATTTTATAATTCAAGATTTTGGTAGCATAAAAATGACTCCAACAGGGCAACCAAATTAAAACAATCAAAAATTTAGGACACGTGTATAAGGACGCAAATTTTCATAGGTAAGTATATTCAGCCTGTGACCGTTTTGATTAGCTTCCAACCGAGCTTTCAACTGACGATTATGATCTAGTTTCGCTGCTGGCAGCAATATTTCATATTGTAAAATCACAGTTGAGTTCAACATTCATAGGCGCCCAGCAATAATGATTGAGTAGGGAATATACACTCACCGGCAAAAAAACGGCCACCATAAAATTTCGCCCTGTAACTTTTTTAATTCTTGTCCGATTTTGGTGAAATTTCGACCAAACCGTATATTCATGTTTCGGAATATTTCCTTGGGTATTGAGTCCCAAAGAAAGCTGATGGTTTGATCATTACACAGGGACAAACAAAAGTTACTCTTTTACCCTTAACTTCCTATTGCCCTGTGGAAAAAGTGAGTTGTTAAACTTGGCTTCATTCTGTTTAGGATTGAAGTGTATTCTTTCTCAGCACAATTGTTCTTGATCTACGTCGATAACCACTTTTTAACGAGATTGAAGTGTTTTAAGAAAGTATCGATTTCTTTTATTTTTATTAACAATTATTCAGAACCATTCTTCAACCTTATTCTGCTTCATCATGTTTTGAATTGAAGTTTGATCCTTTTTCGTCCCTTCCCAGCATATTGGTTCAAGATTCACGTCAATATCTCTTTTTGAAGAGAATATACAAGTGTTCGAAGAAAGTATAGAATTTTTTAATTTTTGTCAACAATAATTCAAAACCTCTAGAGTATCTTAGGGATGAACTTCAGAGGCTCATTCGCATTCGTCCGGCCTTGTCAGAGACCCTTCAAGAGCTACAATTGAAGAATTTTAGTTCGGTTAAATGCTGTAATTCAAACTCGAGGAGGGCTTACTGGTTATTGACTACAGGCACAGGTCTGCTTTTTGTTTGTTTTTTGTATTCAAGGTTTTTTTAGGTGAGTGCTATAAGAATGAGGTAGAAATTAGTAATATTGATTCCTCAAGTTGTTAATCAATAAGTTGATGTAGGATCTGATTATTGTTAAAAATAATTGAAAAATGCCATAATTTCTTAAAACACTCGTATATTCTCTTAAAAACGAGTTATTGACGTGAATCGAAAACCATTGTGTTAGGAAGGGATCAATTCTCAATCCAGAGCATAATGAAGCCAAGTTCAATAACTCAATTTTGCCACATGGCGTTAAGAAGTAAAGGGTGAAATAGTAACTTTGGTATTTCCCTGTATAATGATCAAGTCATCAGTTTTTCACAGAAACTAATATTTAGACTGACATTCCGGAACATGAATCTACGATTTGATCGAAATTTCACAAAAATCCTCGCAAAAATCTGACAAGGATTAAAAAAGTTACAGGGTGAACAATTTGGGCGAAATTTTTGGTGGCCGGTTTTCTTGCCAGTGAGTGTATATTATGGAAAATATTCATAAAATGAGAAAAAAACACAATCCGGTTATGACTGGGCCCCGGTGCACCGCACCGAACTGCCCTACGATAGCTACGCCACTGGTGTTCCTTCTTCTAGATTCAATTTGGTCGACTCCGATATGAGTTGAACAACGCATATAGATCATGTTAGTAAAAAGATCAATGATGGATATTATGCTGTTCTCCAACTATAATATCAGTTTGCTGAAGGTGTACCATGCACTAGTTTATTCTCACATGAGCAATACTTTATTATTATGGGGTAATGCAAATATCTTTCTTGAAATTCTGATTTCTCAAAAAAGAATCATGAGAATAATTTTCAATCTCGATCACAGGAAGAGTTAATTGTTATTCAGAATATAATAATGATAATAAGAATAATAGTTATATAGATAATAATAATAATATGATAATCGGTCATCCTGATAATCGGAGGCGCACGACATACGCTGCTCTCGGAAATCCAGAAAATTTCAGCGTGCAGTGATAAGGCACACATCCTGGCTGGTGGAATGCAGAAGACCGCCATATTTGGATCATTGCGTTTACTCAGGGCACACGGTTCTTGGTCCCAGTGATTATTCACCCCACAGGCTGTGGGGAGTATAGTCACTAGATTTTATTCAGCACGACTCTGCGTGGCGTTGGAGGCAGTCGTGACTGGAATGAAATGAATTCAAATTGAAAATAATAATGATAATAATAAGGATGGTCTTTAATCATCAATTACAAATTTCAAATTGCATCATTATTTAGTGTTGGAAAGAAATATTCTCAGATATATTCATGAACACAAAGAAATGGATATATAAATATAAATAAATACTGAAAATGAATATTCTCAGATATATTATAAACATGAAAAAATGGATACATTTGAGTAAATACATTGAGAATTCGCATTCTCTATGTGATGAAATTATTAATTCTTTCTCGGCATATTCAACAGAAAACAACTACTTTCCTGGCTATATGCCACGACGAACATTGAATTATATCAATTGAACATACACGATAGGAATTTGAGCATAAAATGAATATCGTCTGAAATTGAGAATTGACATTCTCTTCCAGAATCGGATGAATACTATGATGAATATAACGATATAAAAAATATATATTACTTACCAAATTGGTATGAAAATTGGAATGTATGGGAGGAATATACTAGTATACATACTCTGTTCTTGTTGAGTCGTGAATTTATCAAAAATCATCCGTATCCATGATGTTTGGGATATATGCACATCTCTTTCACATAGGTTAGATGATTTTGATTCGAATAAAATTCATTTCGAGTTTCAAACTCTCCTCAGTAACCTGAAGTCCAGTCATTCCTTCAGCCATTCTTCATTTAATACACAATTTTCACATTTCTATAATAATATAACTAAAACTATAGTGGAACTGACATCTATCTGAGAATGAAAATTTGTTGACTTATCTTATTATTATAGAAATGTGAAAATTGTGTATTAAATGAAAAATGGCTGAAGGAATGACTGGACTTCAGGTTACTGAGGAGAGTTTGAAACTCGAAATGAATTTTATTCGAATCAAAATCATCTAACCTATGTGAAAGAGATGTGCATATATCCCAAACATCATGGATACGGATGATTTTTGATAAATTCACGACTCAACAAGAACAGAGTATGTATACTAGTATATTTCTACCATACATTCCAATTTTCATACCAATTTGGTAAGTAATATATATTTTTTATATCGTTATATTCATCATAGTATTCATCCGATTCTGGAAGAGAATGTCAATTCTCAATTTCAGACGATATTCATTTTATGCTCAAATTCCTATCGTGTATGTTCAATTGATATAATTCAATGTTCGTCGTGGCATATAGCCAGGAAAGTAGTTGTTTTCTGTTGAATATGCCGAGAAAGAATTAATAATTTCATCACATAGAGAATGCGAATTCTCAATGTATTTACTCAAATGTATCCATTTTTTCATGTTTATAATATATCTGAGAATATTCATTTTCAATACTTTCATACCCAATCAAGGGGTTCAAACTTGAACGATGGAAACTTGTTATTTTTATAGACCTTCAATCGCAGATTCGTGATTGGGTTTTTCTCAATTCAGAATTTCTTTCCACGCCCTGTATGATAAATGTCAGTTTGTCATACATCTAAAACAATAAATAAATACATTGAAAAAAAAAACAGTCAGTGTATTTGATATAACATTGATGAAGAGCTGTTTTTCAACTTGACCTGGTTGAAGGAAAAGGAATTCCTCACAATAAAATTCCTAATCAGATCAATTCCATATTAGAGGGACAGAAGAGAGGAAAAGATTTATGATTATAGTTATAATAATAATTGTTACAAGAAGATAATGTATACGAAAAAAAACTTACACAAGTTTCTAAAAAAAGCATACATTAACGATCATTTTACGCGCAATAGAAATCTCTTTTTATAACTAGACACCGCATCATGGTCTATATGGAAATCGTCTTTTTTATATAGGGATAAAGTTTTTCAATCATCTGCCCATGCATGTAACTATCAATAAGTTCAAAAATGTTATCAAAAAAATCCTTATCAAGGGTTGCTTTTATTGTTTTTTAAACAACTGTGTCTCTGTGTAAAACGTATATAACTATTTTATCTATTTTTTTATTATATGTCTGAACGTTGATTTATTTGGCCTTTTCAATATCACTTTATCATAAACAGAAGGATTAATGAATAATTATTAATATAATCATTATCATCATCATTATTTTTGGATGTATGTTTCAAGCTCATCAAGATCGGAGTTTATACAAGTCTACTTGTCCTATATACATTTCAATTTCCATCTCAATACTGAACAAATTGATGAGTTGATAGAATGAAATGAAAAATATCACATTCTGATATGGAAGGGTCTCAGAAATCCAGGATTGTTACAATAAACAGGGTAATCCATTTGGAAATTCAGAACTAGAGCTATTTCCGGTGGAACTGGAGGTGACCAAAAAGTGTGAAATTTGCGAAAACTCTCCTCTCCACATAATATTCAGATTTATCTGATTCAATCCCGATAATTCTAATATTCTAGTAGTAACGACTTGGTTAATACATTCGTTAACTCCCGGGATACTCGTCTTTAAGCATAACTGCATAAGGTACCAACGTTCGATAAAATAATACAAGAACTCTTCCACAGGCGGACAAAGAGAAGAAGATCAAGAAGAAGAAGAAGGAAGACACCGGAGATGCTCCCGCACCCGCCGCCGAGACTAGGACCTCATCGAAAAGCTCCTCCAAGAAAGCCAAGAGATCCGGCTCCAACGTCTTCTCCATGTTCTCCCAAGCCCAAGTAGCTGAATTCAAAGAGGCTTTCCAACTCATGGATCATGACAAAGATGGTGCGTTCTTTTACGATCTTGCGAGCTTTCTCAATCTAAAGTCAAATGCTCAACTATGGCATATGAATTCAATATATTATCTGTTAAAGTTTGCAAAAAAAACATATACGGGATTTTCTTCGTTTTAGAAACCCATTCTCTGACCAATATCAGGAATTTACATGAATTCCCTTTCGTGCGCTCCAAGAGATACAAAAAATGATTCATTTTCAGTTGGTGGACAATTGATTTGACATATACAGATAGAGATTTGCATCACGAATTTTACGATGCCAGACTCGATAGGAATACTTTGAACGACTACGAAGATATGGCCAGCAAATTATTACATTGTGCGACTCACAGATTGTTCAACCTTGTAGTCACACTATCGATGCACTTGAAAAGTTGTTCGCTAGTATATAGTCGTTCAACCTAGTCCGAGATCAAACTCGGTATCTTATTATCAACTCGTAACATAAATTCCAATATATCTGATTATAAAATGATAAAAGGGTGACCCATTCGAAAAAATTGCGTGTCAACCATTTGGTTATTGATTGAACTATGAAAATTACAAGCGGATCCAGCGGCGATATTTTTCTGAGAGGTTTATGAAATTTTAGTTTCCTTCCGCTTTTGGGGGACATTAAAAATACAGCGTGAGTCATGAGGAACTGTACATACTCATACCACGAATAGAGGCCTCTGAGAGGAATACCTTATGACCATCAGAGAGTGTATTCTCTTCTTCACTAATATATAGGGTGAATTATGGGATTCGGCACAAACATCTTTTGGTCATAACCCCCCAACAGCTTCTTCGATTTGTCTCATTTTGTCATGAAATATTCTGCTACTACTATCTAATCGACTGACTTATTCAAAATCAGGAAAATCCAGGATCGTTTTTGAAACATTTTGCTACTTCAATTCATATCAAAAAGTTCATTCTGTATATGGTTTTTGTAAACTGTGACAGGGAATATTCAGTGGTCACAAACGGACATCGAAAATTAAATATCCAAAATGTTTCTCACACTTTCACAGAATTTCTTAAAAAACGATACATTTATACTTCGCAACGCATAAATTTCACGAATGAAAGTAAGACTTACATTCTCAATATTTTAGCTCAATGAGAATCAACATGTTCATTTATTTCCAGGCCTGGATTTCGTCATTTTATTTTTTGGTGGAGGGTATAATAATAACCCTATAGATCTTTTACGAAACAGTGGATGGGGTGTATCTGTATGGATGTTGTTGGCGACCATCGATTTAAATAATTTTGTGATTATTAATTCTCAAGTTCATCGATTCGATTGGTTGTTTCAAGTTATTTTGGCCACTTATTTGCCGTACAGAAGAATAATTATTATTATCCTTTGTTATAGTATTCTTATAAAAAATTGTGGATAAAGCCCCATTTTCAAATTGACTTTCTAGAATCATTTGAATCGTTTGCTATTGATATCCATACGGATACCCCATCCACTGATTCGAGAAAGATCTACAGGGTGATTATTATACCCTCCACAAAAAATAAAATGACAAAATCCAGGCCTGGAAATTGAAGAACATATTGAATTCCATTGGGCTAAAACATTGAAAATGTCATTCTTAGAATGTATCGTTTTTTCAAAAATTGTGTGAAAGTGTGAGGGAACTTTCGGATATTTCATTTCCGATGTTTGTTTTTGACCTTTGAATTTTCCCTGTCACAGTTTACAGAAACCATATACAGGATGAACTTTCTGATATAAATTGAACTAGCAAAATTTTTGAAGAACGGTCCTGGATTTTCCTAATTATGAATGAATCAGTCGATTAGAGAGTGGTAGCAGAATATCCCATTCGAAAATCAGACAAATCGAAGAAGCTGTTGGAAAGTTATGACCAAAATATGTTTCTACCAAATCCCATATAATTCACCCTATATATCATTGAAGAAGAGGAGCAGACACTTTCTGATGGTCATTAGGTATTCCCCTCAGGTGCCTCTATTCGTGGTTGGAGTACCTACCTATGTACAGTTCCTCATGACTCACTCTGTATATTCCAGACTAGTCGCTCAAAAAATCATCATTTATGTTCCTCAGGCATCATCACTAAGAGTGACCTGAGGGCCACCTTCGACGCCGTTGGCAAACTCTCCAGCGAGAAGGAACTCGACGAGATGATCAACGAAGCCCCTGGTCCGATCAACTTCACCCAGTTGTTGGGACTTTTCGGTAACCGCATGGCCGATTCCGGCGGTACTGATGATGATGATGTTGTTGTTGCCGCCTTCAAAAGCTTCGACGAGAACGGTACCATCGATGGAGAAAGGTCAGTAATGTGATTACTAATAATTTAGGTTAGGTACTTATTCATTGTGAGTGTGGTGAGGGTTCACACTTACACTGTGCGTCACACACACCGCATAGTCCAGTTCTTGTATTTTTTCAAAACCGTCGATATCTGAATTGGTAAAACCGAATGGCTAATATTTCCATAGCAGACCATTAAATCTCATGTATTTATCTGTTTCGTATTGAACACATCAGAGCTGACAGCATGTTTATGTTTCTGTGATCATGTGTTATACGGCAGTCCTATGTGAGTGCAAACTTCGTACACAAATTCATCACCTCAATTTGAGGTGGAAAGTTCCTATCAACGTATATCCTAAAATGCATACTCACTGAGATACAGGACGTCCGAAGTACGAGGAAATTTGAGATTTCTCTAAATTTCTCTATAACCCCTTTAGAAAAAAATATGAAACTCGGTGTATAGTTTATGCAAAGTTTAAAGAGTGCGGCAGCGCGGCCCGACATTCGTTTGATGATCTGTTCAACTGACTTTGCATTAACTTTATCGATCCAGATTGAAAAGGGTAATCACAAATAGTTTTCATTTCTTGATTTTTCCAACCAGAGTGGCGTAGTTGGGGTCGTAAATCGCCACATTTTCCGTCATATTTTTCCTTAGACAGATGAATTGTCAAATTGGTGTATAATATCAGTTAGTCTCATCAATGCCTAAACTGAAAGTGATGACATTCTGCATGCCCAAGTGTAGAGGTTCTCAATATATTTGCAAAAAAACTAGACATATGTCTTGAGGTTGAGACCCAATTCGCTGCGTGCCATAATCGTATAATGAAAAACTTTTACTTCTTATTTCACACTTTATTTCGAGGTGAACAGTTCATATTGAAGTATATCTCAAAGTGCAATCCATTACATATACTAGTTGTCGAATATGTGAATGTGATCATTACATATCACTCGAACACGCAGGTATGGAAAAAATCGACAGGACCATACTTTACTCCATAACTTTCTTTTCATTCGTTATACTCAGTTGCAAAATTGAGGCTATTATGGCTAATATTTCCGAAACAGACCATTGAAATATCATGTATTTATCTGTTTCGTATTCAATACATCAGAGCCGACAGCATGTTCATGTTTCTGTGATCATGTTAGACGACAGTTCTACGTAAGCGCAGTTCATATTACAATCCACTGATACAGCATGTACCTACTAGTCAGGGGCGTCGATAATATGTTTTCTTGGTGGGGGGGTAATAGCTTTTTGGGTTCAAGTAATAAAAATCATGTTATAGGGAGTCATAAATGATATACAGTGTGACCAAGGTGAGATTGCACAGCATGGGGATCTCGAAAACGGTAGGAGATACGGTTGAAGGGATTGCGCATTCCTTTGGTCATACCCACGGTCTTTTCAAAATTGTCACTGTTTCAAAAACAGTGTATTTCTGGAAAATCAATATTTTTTCTGAGTTATTATTAGAGATACAGAAAAACTGAAAATACTGTTACGTAGCAACTTTTGATGAGATTCAACGTATGAATTTCATCAACTTGGAGAGAGCTACAGATACTAGACATCAGCATATTATTTTAGCAATACCAAGGCATAAGACAACAGCATGTAAATATGGTCTGCATGATAATTGTATAATTTTGTATAATGGACTTCCTGAAAATATAAAGATCTGTATCTTCCGGTTTCCGAGATCTCTTTGCTGTGCAACCTATTCTTGGTCACACTGTATATCAGAGTTAGAAACAGAACTGAACTTCGCGACAAACAAATCAGAGATCAAATTGCCCTAAACGTTTATAATATCTATCACCTATATCTCAGAGATTATTATTCTTGGGGTGAGGGGGTAATTACCGAGTGGTAGAGCAGGAGGGCACTCCATGAGTCCATGCTTATAGCATTTTAAAGTGGTAACGCTCTTATAGACGTTAAAAGTCGCACGTTCGAAATCCTGGCTCGGAGTTTAGTTTCGGTTCAGCTATGCTCTATTCAACTAATATCACATGGTACTTTGTAGACCAGGCTCAATCAAAAATTTTGATTTTGCTTGAAATATCGATTTAGACAACTACAATGACTTCTTTAATGAGAAACAACCAATTGATTCAGCAGACTTCACTCATTCAAAATTGATGCAATACTTGCATTGATTTTTGTTTTGCAATTATTTTATAATTCCCGAGTGAACATACGATGAAAATTTAATGGTTCCATATCGTAGTGTTGTTTGAGATGATATAATCTCATCGAAATATGTTCAGAGAACAGTCGAGCTTTATATATATAACTTGCACGATGATACTGAATTGGCTTAATGTATTCTACTTGTAGATCAATGTCGTAGAGAAGAAATGTCATCCAAGTCATATTTTTATTAGCAATGAAATATAATGTTGTCCACTCAAATCTCAATTTCATACTATAAGTATCTGTTTATTCAAAATGGTCCATGATGTAGATCTAATTATAACAGAGGAAAAAACAGATGGATTAATCTTCTGCACGAATTCTTAAATTTCTTGAAGAACATCAGTTATTTATTATACAAGGAAAAAAGTAGAGATATTAACTTCAGGTTGTGTGCAGAAAAACTGTAAGCTAACATCTTATATTTTTTCCGTGTATAATATTTCATTTTTCTGTGACAGGAAGAAGGACGAATCGATATCGACGTGAAATTTCTTTCAAATTAATCAAATATCTGTCAGTCTAATTCTGTGATTTGGAAAAACTGATGCGATTTCAGTGGTTGTTTAGTGATTTACATAACCTTGAAGTTGCATGGAAGATGATTGGCTTATTTTTCGAAACTATAACACAACAAAAGCATCAACAGTGTATATTTATGTGATATATATCCGGGAAAATGGTAATGAGAAGTGACATTTTATAACCTGTAAACAGAGATGAAATTTCAAACTTTCTTTCCGTCACAGAAAAACGAGTATTTTTTTTTTATATCTTAATAAATAAATTGACCGAAAATGAATGAAAAGTCCTTTCTATATAATCAACTTTCGTGAGTGAAACCGATAATATTTTTCAGATTCCGTCACGCCCTCATGACCTGGGGAGAGAAATTCTCCGCCAAAGAAGTTGATGACGCCTTCGATGCCATGGATATCGATGACAATGGCAGAATCGACACCCAGTCTCTCATCACTCTTCTAACTGCCGCGCAGGAAGAAGGGGAAGGTGAAGCAGCCTAAACTCAATCAAAATTTCATATTTCCGATACAGTATATTATGTTTATTGATATACCTTTATAGGTCCTTTATAGGTAGAAATGTGAATTTAATGAGTATTTGCTTAAAATTGCCGTTAATATCATACGGCGTGAACAAATCATGAATTTCCTCTTTCATGTTCGTCTGATTTTTATTTATTTTCGTCTTGAACCATTATCATTATTCGTATTAATAAAAACATAAAATCGATGAGAACCACTTTATTTCAACATGCGGTGCATCTATAATAATGGGAGAGCCGGCTGCAGATTTCTACCGCCATCTGATAACGAAATAATATATGTTCAAAAAAAGTAAAAACATTGAGTTCATCGAACGGCACCTGTGTCAATCACTATCCTGAGCAAAATTATAAAAAAATGCACTTTCCTGTGCGGAAATTTGCACTTGATTTTGATGAGATTTGATAAAGAGATGAAAATTATTACCAATTGAATGGTAGATCGCAAAAACCTACCTGTACCACCCCTCAGTCTGAAAGAAATTTACGGCACAGCGATTTATTCGCTCCTATTATTCCGGACATACTTCGGTCATGTGATGAAGAGTTGAAACAAACAGCAAATGGAAGGAGATTATGTCCCTTTTTCGAACATACAAACGTGCCGCGATTCAAACTTATCTAAGTTAGTGGCAGAGCGCCAATGTTTTCGTGAATATTTTGCCCTCGTCGAAAGATAATATCCGATGGTGAAAGTCATGTGGTACTCACACTAGGAGTATCCCTATCTACATGTTGAGTTTGACACTGGTTCATCGGATATTACCTTTAGAGGGGGTGAGATATTCTCGAAAATATTGATGCTCTGCCACTAACTTAACAGTTTTAATCGCGACACCATTGGAATCGCTGTGCCAAAACATGGCAGCCAAAACTACTTCATAGTCAACTAAAAAATACGATCTGTCATTCTGGAAATATGACAATAACATTCAGAACCAATCAAATCAATCACCTACTAGAAAATGAATTTACATGCGAGCCGTCTATACCGTTGAGATTGATAAAAAGAATATCCGGCATGGGGGAAATAAGTGTCATATTGGGAATTAATCCAAAAATAATAATGCAATGTTGAAATCATCTGCCAGAAGGAATATTATTCGCGGCCCGCCTAAGGGGGTCATGAATAGTGAAAACTTCATTAGAATGATGAACAAAATAAAGAGGTGTTAGTTTGAAAATGATGCAGAAAGATAAGAATTCGTTGGGAAAATTATATACTAGGAGGAAATTTACTTACAAGCCATCAGAGGGAGTCATAAGTAGTAAAAACTCCTATGAAATGATGAAAAAATATTTGCGGTGGCAGAAAACGGGGAGTAAGGTTGAAAATATTATACAAAAAGATCAAAATTCAATAGGGAAATCATAAACTGAAAGAAAAATTACTCGCAAGCCGTCTAGAGGGGTCATAAATGGTGGAAACCTCATTGAAATGATGAAAGAATAATATTTCAATTCAATAGAGAAGTCATATACTAGCAGGAATATCAATTGCGAGCCGTCTAGGGGGGTCGTAAGTGGAAAAAAACTCCATTAAATTTATAAAAAGAATATTTTTCGGTGAAAGGTAACGTAGTGTCACCTTGGAAATGATACGGAAAAATCATTCTTCGTTGGAAAAATCATAAACTGAGAGGAACGTTACTTGTAAGCCGTCTAGGGGGGTCGTAAGTAGACCCATTAAGATGATGAAAAAATATTGTTCGGTGGAAGAAAAAGGGGTGTCAATTTGAAAATGATATAGAAAAATCAGAATTCAATAGAGAAATCATATACTAGAAGGAATATCACTTAGGAAATCACTTACTAGGGGGGTCGTAAATGGAAAAAATCCCATTAAAATGATGAACAAAATATTTTTCGGTGGAAGAAAGAAGGGTGTCAATTTGAAAATGATCTGAAAAAATTAGAATTCAACAGAGAAATCATATACTAGAAGGAATATCATTTGCGAGAACATAACTTGTATTCTTCCCATTACATCGGTATATTTGGGGTTCAAATTGCCACACAGAATGAGAGAGACGAAATTATAACTGAATTATATAATTGTATCCTAGCATCCCAGGAACGCAGCTTAGCACTGACCATAAGACTTGTTACAGCCCCTAAGGCCTGTTTAGTTTTACTAACGGTGATTCTTGCCATTTCTGAGAAGAGTGCGGAGGATTAGAAAACCACTCCAAGATATGTGAAATTATTCACTACTTCCAGTGCTTGGCCATTATTAAAGGAATTATTATTTTTATATGCAAAATAACCCCCTTAAAAGCAAATTAGTATTTAACTTTTAGCGGTATTAACTGTTGAGCAGTTCTCACGACAATAATCTGCTAACATATTTAAACTTTTTTGTAAACCGTTTTGTGTATCACTAATAATGACTAGGTCATCCGCATATAACAACAAAAGTAGTTCCTCTATACCGTTGATGTTAACCCCTTTACAGCCTTCTTCTTGGAAGTAGGTATGTCAAAATATCTGAAATGAATATAAATAGAAAGTAACGTTGGGCTTAGTGATTCTCCTTGTAATACGCCGGTTGTGATTTCGAAATTTTTTTTATACTGGTTGTTACACTCAATTCTCATATTAGCTTTGTCATATATGCTGTGCCATAGTAAATTATGTTCTATAGAGTCAAACGCTCCCTTGAAGTCTACAAATGCCAAAAATACTTTCCTCCCTTTCAGCCTTAAATTTATTTGGATAACCGAACTCAATACGAAAATATTGTCTATGCAGCCACGTTCCTGTCTGAAACCCGACTGACATTCAGGAATTATGTTATTGTCCTCGCACCAAATTTTCAATCTCTCGAGTAGTAAGGAAGTGAATATTTTGGCAGGGGTGTTAAGTAGTGCTTTTCCTCTATAATTGACAGGATCATCCTTGGCGCCCTTTATATGAAGCATTGTCAAAATTGCTGTTGACCATGCCGATGGCACTACTTCGCGCTCTAGTATTTTGTTGAACAGATTCAAAAGGTATAACAACCAATTTTGTGGCAGGTTTTTGATGAATTTATAGCTTATTCCATCCGATTGCATTTCTGACTGATAATATTGTACTGTAATAAGTTTCCCATTGTTGGGTTGTAAATGGAGAAGTGTTATCTGGACGTCTAAAAGATTTAATAGCCTCCCAGAAACTTGGTTGATCCCGAGTATTACTCAAAGTTGCGAGTATAGCACTCCTTTTCAAATTAGTGCACTCGATGTCGAACCAAGGCTTATGGCGTGGATTGAAACGTGAAGCTTTTTGAGTTATGATCAGACTACAATTTTCTGCAGTTTCCCAAATAGTAGTACACAGATTTATATAGTTACTTTCGATAGTATTGAGAATTCCAACATTTGGAGAGAATTCCATTGAGTGTTTGTATGGCAGAAGAAGGGCATCGTTCCATCTCAATTTTGTTTCTGTAGTATTTACACATGTTATGGTATCAGCATTAATAGAAACAGTTCCAAAGCTGAGTAAAAGAGGGAAATGACTTGAGGGTGATACATATATGTGTAAGCACACATAAATCATGAATGATACTGAGATTATTATTATTGCAGAATGCAAGGTCAATGACACTACTACCATTTGCATTCATGAAGATGAAATTAACTGGCCTATCAGAAGAAACACTGCCGTTTAGTAGTGAAAAGTTATTAGAGAATAGAAAAATCAATGAGCTCCCATCTTTAGGATTGATAACTTCAGCATAACTTAACATAGAAGTAAAGAGATTTGTATTTTCGACAATGTGATCTGGAATTGATGCGGTATTTCCGATTTTACAATCAAAGTCACCCAAAACAAAAAATGGTATATTGGGTGATGATTCGGTAAGTTCCGTTAAAGACAATTGGAATAAATCTAGAACTTCATCAAGAGGTAACGATGGTTTAAAATACACAAAGCATATAATAAATTTCAAATCCCCACATGCGAATGAGCATATCAACCACCAGGGTGAAGAGTCTAACATTTTGAGCTTAAAGCATTTGTTATATATAATTGCTATACCACCGCTTGCTCGTCCATGCATTTTTTCCTTTGAAGCAGCAACACATATTATATTGTAGGTTGTATGAAGGACCGGTGGGAGAATTATATCGTTCACTTGCCACGTTTCACTAATACATAAACAGTCAAATTCATGAGAACATAGATCATCAACCGGAAGTGAAAAGTTTGTCATACCTTCAACATTCCAGAAAATTATTTTCCCATACCGTAATATGGGGGCGAGTTTTAGTTTTTTTTATTGCCTTGGTTGGATTTCTTGGAGAATTTCCTTCCTCGTTTGCCGGTTATTTGAGAATTTTGGAGTTTCACAATTCTTGGCACACCATCATAAAACTTTATTCTGATATTCTCTTCACCTTTAGACCTGCGGTCATTCAGTTCGCTGTACAGTGGTTTCAATTCTTGTTGTTGCAATGGGGTCACATCATTCTTGATTTTTACACTTGGGAAAGTATTTTTAGGAATTTTCAGCTTATTCTTCAGGACACTTTCAGCTTCGTCAGGTGATTCAAGTTCCACTTTTAAAAGTCGAATTCTTCTTGGTTGGGTTTGCCCAACCGAGAAACGTTCTTCACCCTAACAATTTCAGGATGGGTAATATTTTGTACCATGATTTTGATAGTTTCTTGATCGTTTGCTTCAGTTTCTTCAAGGCCATAGACGATTATGTTTCTGGCACGATTCATACGCATATTTATCTCCTGATAAATGTTTCCATAAGGTTCTAATGAGACTTGAAGTTTGTTTTCCAAACTTGCGATTTTTTCATGTATTTCCAAATTGTCTTGTTCTAAAGTTTCAATAGACTTCAGGAAATTATCCAGCTTATCAAACTGACTGACAATCAAACCTCTCAAATCAATAACCCAATCAGCACCAGACATCTTAAAGACGTACATTTTACGACTTACTTACGTCTTTACGTCCAGG